CAGGAGTTGGAGGTTGCTGTGAGCTGTAATGCCACGGTACTCTACCCAGGGGGACAGCTTGAGGCTCTGTCTCAAAAAAAAAAAAAAAAAAAATAATAGGGCTATGGAGGTATTCGATAGAATGTCTTTCTTTGTTTGAATTGCTTACTTTAAATAAATGGCCTTTAGTTACTTTTTAAACTTCTAGAATCTTCTTTAAGATTGCCTTTTTCCAAATTAACTTCTATAGCCATGTTGTTTGTTTCTTTATTTTGGTATTTCTTATTAGAATGAGATTTTTTTTTTTTTGAGACAGTCTCACTATGTCACCCTCAGTAGAGTGCTGTGGTGTCACAGCTCACAGCAACCTCCAACTCTGGGGCTCAAGCAATCTTGCCTCAGCCTCCCAAGTAGCTGGGTCTACAGGTGCCCGCCACAATGCATGGCTATTTTTTGTTGTTGCTATTGTTTGTTTGTTTAGCAGGTTAAGATTGGGTTCGAACCCACCAGCTCTGGTACATGTGGCCAGCACCCTAACTGCTGAGCTATGGGTGCCGAGCCTAGAAGGAGATTCTTTTTTTTAGAGACAGAGTCTCACTTTATAGCCCTCAGTAGAGTGCTGTGGTGTCACAGCTTACAGCAACCTCCAACTCCTGGGCTTAGGTGATTGTCTTGCCTCAGCCTCCCTAGTAGTTGGGACTACAGGTGCCCACTACAAGGCCCAACTATTTTGTTGTTATTGCAGTTTGGCCGGGGCCGGGTTTGAACCCGCCACCCTTGGTATATGGGGCCAGAGCCCTACTCACTGAGCCATAGGTGCTGCCCTAGAAGGAGATTCTAATTTAGAATTTTTCTTTAAAATATTTGGACTGCTTTTAACTATAGCTTATTTTTTTTTGAGACAGAGTCACCCTGGGTAAGAGTGCTGTGGTGTCATGGTAGCTCATAGAAATCTGAAACTCTTAGGCTCAGGTGATCCTCTTGCGTCAGCCTCCTGAGTAGTTGGGACTACAGGTGCCCACCACAATGCCTGGCTAGTTTTTCTACTTTTCGTAAAGACAGGGTCTTGATCTTGCTCAGGCTGTTCTTGAACTCCTGTGCTCAAGCAATCCACCCAGCTGGGCCTCCCAGAGTACTGGGATTATAGGCATGAGCCACTGCACCCAGCCTTTTAACAGTGTCATATTTTTTACTTAAAACTTTCCTACATTTGAAAATTCAACTGTGGAATTGTTCACAAAAATGTAGTAGGTTTTTAGCTAATGGCATACTATAAGGTGATAATGGGTCTGGATCTGTTGGTTCTCAGGTGGCTGTTTCATCTAGTAAAGTTGCTTTCTTCTATGTCCAGGCCCATGATTCTGTGTGTGCTGTTGTGCTTGTTTGTGTATGGGAGTTGCTGGTAGTTCCAAAGATATACATATACAAACATGGCCTGGGACGCTGGCATCACCATGAACGTGAAGCTGAAATGTCCATGTAAATATTGTGACAGAGCATTTCCTTGCACTGTCACCTGAGCTTTAGCAGAGATTAGACAAGCAAAGAGGTGGTGACTTGATAGATAACAGGTTACTCATCTTTCTTTGAGTATTCTGCGCAGCTGAAGGACAGCAGGACTACTCACTTTACAGAGCTTTCTTCTCTGGTTTGCCAGGAGAGATCTCAACAACTCTTAGAGAGAAGGGGAGGGAGAGACAGAGAGATAGAGCAAGAGTTGATTTTATTTTTTAATTTTTAAAATTTCAGATTAATATGAGGGCACAAAGTATTAGCTTACAGTGCTTGTGTTGTTAGGTAGGGTCCCTCTTATCGAAGATTGTATTTTTGAATAGTAGCTACAATGCATTGACAACTTCTCATCTGCCTGGTCTCTTTCTACAAGTTCTCATGATCTATATAAATGTGTGTGTTATCTCCATGCTACAAATGAGGAAACTGAGGCTTAGAGAGTTTGTGACTTGCCCATTAAGTGACATTAAGTTTTAGAGCCAGAATTGAACCTAGATTTTTATGTACTGTCAAACCCATGGACTTTCTTCCATATTACAGTGTTGCAAAAAACATTCCAGCCCATTCTTGTGAAATCAGGAGCCAGGTACCTGCCAAATCACAAAATCACTATTACCAATCTTTTCCTTTACGAATCTCCAAGAATTTCATATCTAGCACATACACCTACTTTAACTGTAAAGCTTTATAATATGACTCATCCTTCTTCATACATAAGTTGCTGACGAATAAGTATTCCTAAGTTAGGAAAAGATGCACAGGCTTGTGATTCCTGGTTTGGGGCAGAGGGATGGCGCTGTCGGAGGAGGAAGCTGTAAACGCTCTTCTGGGGATTTCTGGCTTTCCCAGCCAGTGCTGCCTCAGCCTGGGACGTTACTTTCCTCACCGCTTGTTCTTTGCTTTTGTTTTCTCCCCAGATCTAGATACTGATGATGATTTAAATAGCGATGATTATGAATACGAAGACGAAGCCAAGCTTGTTATATTCCCGGACCACTATGAAATAGCGCTGCCCAACATCGAGGAGCTGCCAGCCCTGGTCAGTGAGTGCGCGCGGCTGCTCGCTAGACGCGCCTGGCTCTGCGTCAGGCGTGTGCGTGGCGCGTGTGCGTCTGGCGTGTGCCTGTGCGTGTGCGTGTGTCGGGCGGGGCTGGTGGCTTGGACGTGAGAAGAGCCAGAGAACCAGCACGCTTGAGCGAGCCTCTTCTCTTTGTGACTAGGGGGTCTCACGGGGTTGCATTTGGGTAGCACTGGGACATACAGACCCTGCGCTGCATGTTGGTCGCATCGCTGGTGGGTCTTCGCTGCTCAGTAGAGCGGGCTCCTTTCTACAGGTAGGACGCGCTGGCTTCTTGCCTCCTGAATCATGGTCTGTAGCTTACATTTGCAAACTCTGCATCCCACGCCATGCAGGGGCAGCTAGAGAGGGACTATCTCCTGATCAAAGGGATGATAGTATTTTTTTTTAATCAAGTTTATTACATTGGCTTTCTTCTTCTTTTTTTTTGGAGACAGAGTCCCACTCAGTTTCCCTGGGTTTGAGTGCTCTGACGTCATAGCTCACAGCAACCTCAAACTCTTGGACTCAAGCGATTAAATTTTTTACTGTTGGAGGTTCACTGAGGGTACATAGAACCCGTTACATTGATTGCATTTGTTAGGGGCTCAAGTGATTCTTGCCTCAGCCTCAAGGTAGCTGGGACTCCAGGTGCCCACCACAACGCCCAGCTATTTTTAGAGACGGGGTGTGGGGGGAGTGGTTCTCGCTCTGGCTGAGGCTGGTCTTGAACCTGTAGGCTCAGGCAGTCCACCTGCCTCGGCCTCCCAGAGTGCAGGCACGAACCACCATGCCTGCACTTTCCCTCTTCTACTCTGTGTAAATCTAGAGCCTGGCCAAACAGAGGGCAGTGGGGTCAGTATTGGCTGAGTTTAGACATGCCAGCTCATTTTTTACCTCTTCAAAAATCTGCCAGAACCAGAGCCAGGTCTTTAGGTCGCAGAGTCTCCTGGACATTGAGTGACTCTTTCTGCAGCCATCTGCTCACTTGCCTCTGCCAAAAGGGGATGTTTGTGCTTGGAGTTTCTGTGTCATTAGTGACTGGATTCCCACCATTCAACCTCTTATATTCCTGAATACGTGAAATCTAAATATATGACCATAGAAATGAAAATTTTGTGTTTTTATGTATTATAGTTCTAATTAGTAAACATAATACAACCTTTTCAGTACTAGATGCACAGTGTTCAGTAAGGCATGCAGAATTAAATTACCTTTGCTTTCTCTAGTTCCCTGTGTTGACTCATGTGGCTGTTACCAAGGATAAAATATATTAGTGGGCAAAATGGCCTTACCTCATCCCATTACCTGAAATTATATACTAATGCTTATATCTCTATAGTACTGAGAGTTCTTACTGCCCTTGTTCAATATAACTCCTGTTTCTGCTGTCAGAAAAGAAGTAAAGAAGCATATTGTGAATAATGTTATGAGAAATTATTTTCTCCTCATTCCCTCATGAAGTCTTTCTGTGAAAAAAGTTAATAAAAAAGCCTTTTATTGGGTGGTACCTGTGCCTCAAGGGAGTGGGGCGCTGGTCCCATATACCAGAGGTAGCAGCTCTGGCAAACCCAGCTCTGGCAAAAAACTGCAAAAAAAAGGCTTTTATTATTTTTGCATTGAGAGTGTACATTAATTTTATTTTTTTGAGACTAAATCTTATTTTTTTTTTTT